TCACACTCACAGCATCAGCTAATGGCAACAGGGAATCAATTAGCACCTACCAAGGAACTTTTTACATGTATTAAACAAAAATTACCAGAAAAAAAAAGTAACCTTTAATTTATAGTTAATTTACTCAAGCTTAATTACATTTGTTTCAAATGCAGCCAAAAATAACAACAAAATACAAACATTTACATTAAAAAAGGCTCTTTACTTGAGATGATTCTTTGCCTTAGCTATATGTGAGCCAGATGTGGTCCCATGAGTAATCACCATTAAAAGCTTGTTTTTGAGCTTAGAAAAGCCATTTTTCAGTAAGCAATAACTTTTCCCAGTTCCAGTATTTGAACTATCCAACTGAATGCAAGATTTAAATCCTACGTACAAAACGCAAACTCTAAACAGTGCAAATCATTGCAATGTATTTACATTTAACACAGACTCCCAACTTTCTGGAAGTTGTAGTTACTGGCTACATAACAGCTTGCAAATCTTTCTGGTCTAAATGAAAATTTTTTAAGTAAAACTAAATACACAAAATGAAGGAATTCCTGTTTATCACCTACTTCCCCCTCAGTGGAAATGTCTCTGTAAGACTCACCTACATAAATTTGATGTGGAACAATAATCACTATAAAATTCCTTTGTTTAAGGAAATATCATTCAGGCCCATGAAGTGCCTGCACTCCACCCGATGCAAGTGCAAACAGTAATCTTGTGACGGCTGACTTCCTCATACATGTATCCGGATTTAAAGTTAGACTGAGGAAAATGGCACTCCAGGTCATATATATCACATGTTGACAAATACTGGCAACAAATAATAGTATGAAAACAACTGGAGCCTCAGTGCTAGTCCACCAGCTACGGTGCCCATTCAGGCACAAAGGCTATCCAAAGGAATTGAGTTTAAAACAGACAGGAATTTTGCAGTGCAAAGCATGTATTTCCACAGAGACACAGCTGTGGCAGATGTCAACACAAAGGTTCAGGGTTGTTTTAATGACAGTTGTACATGCATGCAAAACTCCACAAAAGGAACGTGCTGGCTTTACCATACATGTTCACTTTAACAAAAAATAAAAAACAACAACAACAACAAAAAACATTGAACACCAGTGACAAACACAGTCATCTGAGTGAAAACAACTTTCAATAAAAGTTTAAAAGATCACAGCCTTTTACAGGCATTTCTCAATGATAACATCTTTACTTTGGAAGGCAGCAAACCTAAACCACCTATTGGACAAAATTAGATGAAATTGTGTGTTAGGGTCAACAAAGCCACTGAAAAACAGTGGTTTTATTAAACTTCAAGAAAATACGTTAATGAAGTTGATCTTCATGAATATTAATTATAATTCAACTGACATGAGCTGAACTAAACCAAACAGAGCTTAACAGGGAATCAACTGAGGCTCCTCAAAGGTGAAAGAAGAGCCTTAAAGTGGATTTTATACCAATTATCTTAATTTAAAAGCCCTTGGAAGGCAAAAATTGTAATTGAAATCAAATTAACTGCACACCCCTATTACCTAACAAGCAAGAAAATATGAATCATGCAATGACAACAATTTTATCAGTCTTCATCAGAGTGGCTGCTCATGGCAAACCTTGCACGTATGAATAGCCAATCAGCGCACAGACATCTCAAATCATAGGCGATATCCTATGCCAAGACACGATCAGACAGTAGGACAGCTTCTACTTTCACCACAAGCACATCCACACGATCTCAAACGACAGACATCTGGCTAGACTGTAGATGGCTACACCCCTCCAAAGAAGTGGGGCAACGTTATTTATTAATACAACTCCACTCATCTTCTCTGTACTGTAGAGACTATATAAAAACATCGACATCAATGTAGTTGTGCAAGTTTCTACTTTACTTATAGTACGATTATTTAAGGTCAATATATCGAAATTAATGTAAACCAAGAGGAGAGTATTAAAAGACCATAATAGCATGTCTGAGGATACGATTTCAACGCCTCTACAGCATTACTGCTGCTCTGCTCTGTACGTGTTATTAAACACAGCAAGGCTACTCTAGGGCTATTATTACAACAGCTTGTTACTTAATCCTGAAACCCCAGCGGGGAAGAAAACCAACTAACTAGCTAGTTTTGTAAGGGGGTTATTGTCAAACACGATCACTATTTAGCAGGAAGGTGTAACAGAATCCCCGCAAGCGCAGTTAGCCGGTTTCATCGAAACTCTGCGATGACATGGCCCAAGTCATGGGAACACTATGTCGCAGCTATTAATACGGCCTTTTAACGCCCTAAACGCGGTGTCGCCGGAAAGCCTTTCGCGGCATCAACACGCCAAACGCTGGATAAGCGAATGACGGGGAAATGCCACCCCCGGTGGGTACCCAGCACACTAGGTCCCTTGCTTTCCCCGGTCTTTGACACTCAGCCGCCTGCCACACAGAACCAGACGCTCACTTTCGTGTTAGCTAGCAAGCCGGAGCACAGAAAGGCACAGAAACAAGTATGTAGCCAGAGGAACCGTAAATAACGTCCGTGTCGCCAGCTTGTCTCTAACGTTAGCCTGCATTCCATCTTTGTGCGGCGGATGATCACCGACTGCAGCGCGTAACTTCAAACCGAGAACGCCCAGGTCCGTTATCGGACACGCAGTCAATCCAGGTTATTACAAAAGCTTAAGGCTTGTTACATCAATCTCGCACGTAAGAGTGTCAAGACGATGATCAAATCTGAAGCATCGTGCACAGATATAAACAAGGGGCAGTGTTAACAGAAACAAACGACAGCGTCAACCCACCTCTCCTCCTTCGCTAGCCGAGGCGGATGCGCTTTATCAGCACACATGAAATTGGGCTTGTGTACATACGAGCGTTCAGTTGCACAAATATGTCAAGTCCTTCTGGAGCCTTCACTGAAAACACTTGTCTTAGCGATTATGGGGTTGCAATATTTTGCTTAACACGACTTAGAAAAATAAGCACGTCAAATAAAGGTGCGTCCGATAATAGACACACCAGTACTAATCAAGCTAGCTACACAGCTAAGCGAGCTAGCGTTAGCAAACCAGCTAGCTCTCTGCGACACGACTGTAAGCGCTGCTAGAAAGCACCAGCTAACGTAAGCGGCCCGGTGCTGCTCCACCACAGACTCAAAACAGCCGGGACTACCGCGGCCAAGACAAAACAAGCTCCCGTGAAACACAAGAAAATTATTACAGTACGCGTTCAGTTAATCAAAGCATCGCTTACCAGCTCTAGGCATCCACCCTCTTGACAGCGAATTCCCTGTCTGTGTGACCACTATCAAAACCAAGTCAATAAACTCACACTTCCGCTGGGACTTTCACAATAAAACCGTCAATCAGCAATATTTTATCAGTATATTTTGTCTTCCTACAACACCGCCTTAAATACCATTTAAAAATAATATAAGATTGCGTTACCATATTGTTTAATTTAGTTTCTAAACCTTACACTTCAATTTTGATTCTTGTAATATAACTCTAACTAATATAAATAATAACGATAACTATAAATAACATAAATATAACCAATATAGTCAAAGGCACGAAGTAAGAATAAACATGGAAAGCATCAAACATCATGATTGAAAAAGTAGGGAAACCTAGTTATTCAAATGAAAGGGAACCCAAATAGTGAGCTGAGAAAAAATCGCATTATATCTTTTGCTTGAAGTGTAGAACGGGTTTGTGACTACATGGAATGAAGATTAAGACGAAATAAAATCCAGCACAATTTAATGCTGCTTCTGGATAAGGTTTTCTCGCCCCCTAATGTTTGTTAGAGAATGTTACATCTTGTACTTCATGCTTAAATAAGAACACTTGGGGGCGCTAAGGTCTCAAACTTGTCTTTAACAATGCAACCTCTCCAGGTAGCAGACACCTGCACAGCTTTAAAGGATACAGCCTGCACTTGATCTGGATCTGCAGTGTCTCAACAAGGGTTACAACTTTCAGATTTAGATAATTAAAGAGGAGCCACAATTTGCACTGTTAGGTCAACTGATTTAATCGCTATGTGTTACATAAAATATGCACGTACTGAAATCATGCATATTAAAACACATTATGTTACACACATTTACCAAGAACTAGCTGAGCATAAATGGTCGCTTGTCTTTTTTTCCTAGCTGTAGAACAGTAATGCTAAATAAGGCATAACTAGTAACAAGCCAATATGCTTGTTTTTGGACTTCAGTGCAGCGTACTACAATGCAGGTTTGGATGAGAAACCTGCGAGAAAAGCTTAGTCTATAGTTTGGATGTTTCCCTTTTCCCCACATATAGTTGGAGAAGAATATTACTAAATGTAAATTAGTAGTTCATTACAAAATGAAAAGTTGTTGCGTTCATATAATTCTTCTTTGCCTTTCCCCACATATAGTTGGAGAAGAATATTACTAAATGCAATATTACTAAATGCAAATTAGTAGTTCATTACAAAATGAAAAGTTGTTGCGTTCATATAATTCTTCTTTGCCTTGGGCATAAATGCAACCCTTATACTCAGTTTTAAATGAGTATGAACTGAGTTTTAACTTAACTGAGTCTTAACATTTATGGCCACCTTCCATTTTTTGTGACTGGCTTCCCCTCACAAACAGAAGTTGGAAGGGGCTGCTGTGCTCATTGCTGTGCTCTTTGTCTCTGAGATGGGCATATTAGAGATGTCCACTCTCACTGAAATTCCACAGATACAGAACAAGTGAAAAGAAATTGGAGACTTACAGTGATTATGTCATCCACTGATCTTATTTTAAACTGTGGCCATTTTTGGCTATTTGACTACTGTATGACCATTTAAGAGAAAAATAAGAAAAGGTACAACACATTGTCTGACCTGTGTGATGATCCGTGTGGCACAGTGAACTACATGCACTCAAACCCTGCAAGACAGTGGGCAAGTGTGACACGCTCAGGTCATGGATATTATATGTCTCTTGTAGGAGGGGCAAGTTTAGATCTAGACTGTGCCCTTCAAAAAGCTCTCTCTCTGACCTGCTCAGTCGCACTCAGCCAAGATAGTTGAGCACAGTGGAGCACAGCAAGCCCCCCTCTCTGGACAGCATGGGACTTACTCAGGACCCCAACTTTCAAAAGTTGCAGGAGTGGTACACAGCCCACGCCCTGGGCCTCAACATGAGGCACATGTTTGAGGCTGACAAGGAGAGATTCAACAAGCTCAGGTATAAAACAAGAACAGAATACATTTAGATATGTTTGATGTATTTAGTAAGTTAATGTTAATTCTGTTTTATCATCTGTTGACATGTTCACATAACAGACCTCTGTGTGGCTTCATTACACACATGTCAAACCTCAACACAACGACAAAATGATAGTTTTTGTCTGGATACTGATACTCAGAAAATATCCTCATCTTGTCTCCGATAGCCTCACACTGAAAACTGAGGATGGAGACATTCTTCTGGATTACTCCAAGAACCTCATCACAGAGGACGTTATGAAAATGTTGGTTGACCTGGTAATTCAATTTACATTTAAATGATCTGTGGCCTTTAAACTGTTTGTATTAATTACCGAATCATTAGCCAATCAATCCTTTCATCAAGCAGAAAGTGGGGGTCAGTTCATCAGATACAAGTTTCATCTTCACTTAAGTTGTGTTTCTTTGAAGGACTGCTCATAAGTTTAAAACTTCCCAAATTGTTACTGACATAGCATTCATATTTATTGTTTCATTAGGCCAAGTCAAGAGGCATTGAGGCTGCCAGAGAGAAGATGTTTACTGGAGAGAAGATAAACTTCACTGAGGTGCTCGTTGTTAAACAGTCATAACTTCGCTTAACACTCTTTCTTTTATTTCTCTTAAAAATGAACACTAAGTACAGTAAATGCAAGCTGAAAAACCCATTCACTTCTCATTCACGAGCAGTGTAAGCAGCCAGCAGAAAAATACCCAGTGCTTCAGTGCTGATAGTAAGAGTCTGTGTATATTAACATTTATCTCCTGGTGCTGTGGAAATGAAGGGCCGTGCTGTGCTCCATGTGGCTCTGAGGAACCGTTCCAACACTCCCATCATGGTGGATGGGAAGGATGTAATGCCAGACGTTAATAAGGTTCTGGAGAAAATGAAGGGTTTCTGTCATGTGAGTGAACCCAAAAATAAAGGCACAAAATCGCAACAAAAGCTCTTCCACAGAACTGTTTAAACAATTCACTATGTCAGTTTTGTAGCCCTGCTCATGAATTCTTTGATGCAGCTATCAGCAGTTTATAGACCCACAAAAATAATGTTTGCGATTGATGTGTTGCAGAAAGTTCGCAGTGGCGAGTGGAAGGGCTACACAGGGAAGGCCATCACTGATGTTGTTAATGTTGGAATTGGAGGATCTGATCTTGTGAGTGGATTTGCTTGAAAGATCTGTTTATCTTACATATATTAATAATAATACAAATAGGCCTGACTTTTTTTTTGCTTACCATGACCTGTAGGGCCCCCTGATGGTAACTGAGGCCCTGAAGCCGTACTCAAAAGATGGACCTCGTGTGTGGTTTGTGTCCAATATTGATGGCACCCACATCGCCAAAACCCTGGCACAGCTCAACCCTGAGACAACCCTCTTCATCATTGCATCCAAGGTAGCATGTTCATGAAGAAATGAGGAATATTTATTTATTTATTGCTAAATCTTCAAGCACAGACAGAAAGTTGCTTATAAATTGCTGCATGAATATATGTGTATTCCTATATATACAGACATTCACCACACAAGAGACAATTACAAATGCTGAGTCGGCCAAAGCTTGGTTCCTCGAACATGCCAAAGATGTGAGTTTGCAGCAATCCTGCACAGCACAGTTTCATTACTACACTAAAAGGATGTCTTTCTTAATTATAAATTTGATATGTTTCAACAGAAAGCTGCTGTCGCCAAACACTTTGTGGCTCTTTCCACCAATGGTGTAAGTTGTACCAAATTCTTTTCAGGGTTAATAAGCCTCTCGCTGCATCTACACATTCTAATACTAACTTTTCTGTTTTTCTCTGTCTCCCCTTCAGCCCAAAGTGAAAGACTTTGGCATCGACACAGAGAACATGTTCGAGTTCTGGGACGTGAGTGCCCTTTGAGCTTTAAAACACACACTGTATGCAGGTTTTTCACGTCCACACGGTGCCATGGAGCGAGAGTAGAAGCTATAAATAAAGCAGACTTTTGACCTGTGAAGTAGGTGAGACAGACTCTCTGAACAGCAGCTGCCGGGTAATCAGAAGCCTCTCTCTTCAGTCTCAGTTATTATTGGTAGTGACCTTCTCTCTTGCAGAGGTTACTGTAAAGGCTGAGTTGCATCAAAGGTCAGAGAGTTGCATTTAGTTACATTGTTGGTGGTAACAGCTATAATGTGGCCTTTATGTCAGGAGAAAATGGCTGCATGCACAAAATCTACAGCAAAGGTGGGCAATCAATTTTCCCAAAGGGGCACATGGGAGACTGGGACTGTTATAGAGGGCTGCCACAATAAGCTTATAAAGAGCTAAAATTAAAATCAAATGAAACTGAGTTAAGCTTATTGATGTGGCCCTCGACATCAGTCCCAGTTTCTCATGTGGCCCCTTGGAAAAATGTATTGTCCGCCTCTAGTCTACAGTATTTTCAGTCCAAAGGAGAGAAGAAGGGAGAAAAAATGCCTAAAAGAACTTTTGGAAAAGATTTAAGACTGAAGCAAATCATACATTTCTTGCTACTATTTAACAAAGCTATAAAGATCAAGTGTGGTGTTTATTTTAATTGCATATGTGTATAACCTTGGCTTCCTTTTATTAAAATGGGACAAAAAAATTATATAATTTTTGTGTGTTTTCTTGTAGTGGGTTGGTGGTCGTTTCTCCCTGTGGTCTGCAATTGGAATGGCTATTGCCCTGCATATTGGTATGTACAGTAAACACACCCACACATTTCAGGGAGCTCGCCTACCAAGGTTACTTGGGTCCATCCTGAGGAGAAATATTTGCATTTTTATGTCAGTATCTAAAATCATTGCTAAAACATATATGAAAACTTATATGTGTGGACCAGCGATCATATTCATCCCAAGTACAGTGCTAAAAGTCTACACAATCACTTAACTTTTCTTGTGCATCTGATCTCCAGGCTTTGACAACTTTGAGAAGCTTCTGTCAGGAGCACACTGGATGGTGGGTACACCATAATGAGATGTTCAAAGTGTCACTTCTTCACCTGCCTGATATTGAAAATTATTGTTATGATTTTTTCCCTAAAGAATGATACAGAAAACATAAAGGTAAATTAGGTTTACCCTTTCATATATAGGACAAGCACTTCCGTACTGCTCCCCTGGATAAGAACGCTCCCATCCTGTTGGCTCTGTTGGGCATTTGGTACATCAACTTTTTCCACGCTGAGACCCAGGCTATGCTGCCCTATGACCAGTATATGCACCGTTTCACTGCCTACTTCCAACAGGTCTGTCCCCACAATGCAGAAGTGATCCAAAACATTATTTTAAATCAACTTATAGAGTTGATAGATTATTTTAATAATATAAGTGAGTCATTGTATATTGAGAGTGTTTGTTGTCTAGGGTGACATGGAGTCAAATGGAAAGTACATTACTAATCATGGGACACGTGTGAACTACCACACTGGGCCAATAGTCTGGGGAGAGCCTGGAACAAATGGACAGCATGCCTTCTACCAGCTCATCCACCAAGGTAACTCCACCTGGGAGCAGCAACAGACATTTGATTCAGCCGGTCTTTTTCTGGTCCTGGGTTGTCAAATACGTAGTCTGTGTACAAAAACCAGTACATTAAAGTATTTCTGGAGGTTGGTGAGTTGTTGAATCATAAAAACCTATTGTAGTTTAGTTACATGTAATTAACAGACTCAGTGAATGTGGAAATCTGAGCCATATCACTGAAATTGCTGTCAGTTGTCTTAAGACACCTCAGGCTGGTGATTATTTCTGTTTGTATCACTCAGCATATAAGAAAATAATAATAATTTACCAAGAAATATACATTTCTATTGTCTAGCAAAATTTGTGAGGGAAAGTGATAAGGTGTGTTTTCCTTTAAAAATATTATGGTTTCAGTGCAGGTGAAACTCTTCAGAGTAAACTTATATACAGTTAAAGAACTGTAATTATGTTAATGGTCCAGGATCAAATTGAGCTGCATGTAGCCCACAGACTAAAGGACTTTAATCCAGTTTGCTACCTGGTTAAGTTTGTCACTAATGCGACTCAACATGTTCATTTCAGGAACTCGAATGGTGCCTTGTGACTTCCTGATTCCAGCTCAATCACAGCATCCAATCAGAGACAACCTGCACCACAAGGTATCACTGATGTTAGAGAGGTATCTGTCTAAAGCAGCATTTATGCAGATATTGCGAAGTCTGTCTCTTGTTTAGGATATTAAATGAGTTTGACCACATCCTAGACTACTCTACTAGACTGTATAGACAAAAGTATTCAGCCATACCACTTAATCTTAGAATTACAGTGCTTTTAGTTTCCCTGTAAGCACCTAGCCATGCAGTCTACTTATATAAATATTTGTGAAAGAATTCACTGACTTGAAATGTGGTACTGTAATAGGATTCCACTGTTGCTACAGGATAGTTTGTGAAATTTCTTTCCTCCTAGATATTTCACAGTCAACCGTAAGCACTACTTTTCTGAAAAAATCTCAAGCATGCCAATACACCACCTTTTCAGCAACACATACAAGCTAATAGGATGCATAATGTTAGTAGATTTAATAAAGCTAGATAAAGAGACCAATATTAGAGCTGTTTTTAATTGTTTTAAACGGTGGTTGGCGGAGGCTGCTTGTTGGATTTGTGAGATGAAAGTCCAAAGCATAAACTTCAAATAATGGTTTTATGATAAGGTTTGTCCGAGAGGTAGAGCTTGGGGTGGAATTAGAAATTATTAAAATCAGTGTAACAAATAGCTACAAAAAGTCACAATAAACTATTCCCAAGAGAGCTGCATGTTCTGATATAACTTTTGTGGGCATTTTCTCAAAGCTCCAAGACAAGTCATTTGGCAACATATATGATATTGCACTGGCACCTTGAGGTGATTGTCAGACCTCCGACATTACCATCAGAACAAGAGCTGCGCACTGGAGCTGAGGTGCAAGCCACTGACCTTCAATTTATTTTCTGCTTCCTTCTAATTTGTCATAGTGGTCAAACCAGTTTATGCCAACATCTATTTAAAGACGCAGCAACAAATTGAACTTTTGATCTTTGCGGGGGATTTGTTGGTTCTTTTATGCTGTGCATTTTTGTAAAATGCTTTGATTCCACTCATGTCCTTAGAAAAAAGGGTCAGCGCAAATTAATGAAAAGTTGCTCTGAGTGATCACGTTTATTCTATAGAATATTTATGGGAGAAATCAGTTTCAGGATCATTATGCCCCAATTCGAAGGGCACGAGGGGTCATTGAATCATTTTATAAGCAGAAAATATGGGTATAGTTAACAGATCTCACGCCAGCTAAACAAGTACAGGAGATTTTGGATTGATGTGTCCCAGAAATGAGGGAGTATCTTTTAGAAGAATGGTGCTGAATTCTTTCAGTTCCAGATACTGAGACATTTTAAATATATTATTTTAATTTGTTACTTATCTGTTTGTTAATCATGTAGGAAATACACTATCTAAAACTGCCTGTTTCATTTGACTGTAGATCCTGTTGGCCAACTTCCTGGCTCAGACAGAGGCTCTGATGAAAGGTAAGACTACCGAAGAGGCCAAGAGGGAGCTGGAGGCAAGCGGCCTGAGTGGGGAGGCTCTGGAGAAAATCCTACCACACAAAGTACGTAGAATAAAGAGAAACTACCTTATCAAAGATAATGAACCTGCTGCGCTGCTGATAGCATGTAACAGCAACAAACTAAAACCTAAACTTAAGAGGAGAGCTCCCTGTCATGTTGCTTTTACAAACCCGATTGCAAATTGTTTTTGACAGCAGGTTAGAGAGACTCACCCAGTAAAAACTCTGTAAACAGATGTTGAAGACAACTGTGTCACTTTGAAAAGTGAAAAGACATCTAAAAAAAAAAAAAATACATCTCTCTTTATGTCTAACGTTGGCTGAAAAATGAAAATACACCTTTTCTTCTCGTTACATCTGCAAACTCTAAAACATCAAAGAAGTTCAAAGCACTCTCTTTTTTAAATAACCCTGGAGGCTTACTGAAGGCTTTTTTGCTGAAATGCACTGGAGTTTGTTTTTTTAAAAGGTTAAATATGACCATGGTCTGACAATGGAGGCATTTATTGATTTTATTTGAAGAATAAATTGCCTTGGACTTCTTTGATGATTTAGCTTATATGTATCTCATCCAAAGAGGACCGCAAACAAACACAGTCTGAATCAAGGATGCAGACTTTTTCAGAAACCATTTAAGTGCATCTTCAAACTCCTCAGACAACCAGGAGAATCAAACTCTGAACCTTCTTGCTATAATGTACTAGCAACACCCTAGCTTGTGAAAAAAAAATCAGTTTTGACTGTCCACAAGCCAGTAAGCTTATTTTGCAACAGAAAACCAGAGTTAACTGCATTAAAGAACAGAATTTCATTCATGTTTTAATATTTTATTTATTTTTTTAAATGTCATCCTCTATCATCTGCCCGTCCAATCACACTGGTTTCAAATTAAATTTCGATCTAGCTTTGTACTAAAACCCCAAAGACATATGTATTTGCAATTTAAAAAATGAGGGGATTGTCACAGATTATTAGGCAGAGGACTCAATCACAGGACTTTGAAGTTTTAGAGAGAAGGTGAGGGTTTATTTACAATGTAGCACCAAGTGAGGATATATACATATATACTGTGAGACAGATAACACGGGGCTCCAGGGAGTAGAGGGGGGTCTGAAGGGGAGGGAAGGTCCAAGGCAGGTGCATGCACCCTCCTCTTCAACTCAATCCACAACTCACTCAGATAGTCCACTCCATAATGCTCATGCTCACTCACACACATCCACAGGAATCCAGCCGGCAGGGAATCTAGAAGGCCTGTACACAGAGGAAAACAACGTTAGGAGGGAGCTCTAGGACAGCACAAGGAATACTCAAAAGGCTAGGCTACACTGATGCTAGGTAGTGTGACGATCCAGCAAGGAAGCAGTCTATCTTGCCATCTTAAGTAGTCTGCCAGCATCAGTGTAAATGAGCCACAGGTGTGTGTTCAGGGCGGGTTCAGAGGCGAGGAATCAAGATCCAGTTCCGCCTTGGAAAGGCGAAGACAATAAAACACACACCACGACCTCTCCAGATCTTGAGAGATATTCACTTGTGTCATTTCAGTTCAGTTCACCAAAATAAAGAAAATAAATAAATAAAAGCTTCCAGTAACGAGATATGTTTCAAATAGGAATAGGAATTGCCTAATAGAAATAAGCAAATCTGAGATGGTGACATGGTGGGTGGACATTTAAACTTGAAACTTAAACTGAAATGACAATGACCCACTTTTGAACCCATCTTAAACATTTAATTTTAGCCCTGATAGCTAAGTACCATGTTTACATCTGTGTCTAAACTAGACTTCTGATTTTTGTTCAAATTAAAGTCAAGTCATTGTAACAGCTAAAAAAGTTAACCCCCCCAAAAACTTTCCATGAATATCTTGTGTTAGGGGGACAGTGCCCTCCAGTGACATGTATGGACATGGCAATGTATACTTTGTTAAAAAAAACATTTTTGCAAAATAGTGAATTGTATTCTAAAATGTTTCTATTTGATTACCGCAGGTATTCCAGGGAAACAGACCAACCAACTCAATCATCTTCAAGAAACTGACTCCATATACACTTGGAGTACTTATAGGTAAACCACTTTTGTCACTGTACTGGTTTTATCATTGGTAACATTACCAATAACAATTTCTTTTGAAGCTTTAATGTCCTTTTAAACATCGTTTTAATCAATTTAATTCTACATATACCATTATCTAATTTAACCCGGTTAGTTTTATCTGAAAATGAGACATTACGAAATAATTTCCACTGTTTTTAAATGCGCTGGACTGCACAATAATAAATGATATCTGAGACAGTGGTGGTAATGATCACACAGTGGGAATTTCCTGAAACAGCCAAAGAGCGGCAATTTCCAGCTGAGCTTCAGTCAGGACGTTGCACACTGTTGCATAGTAACAGTCAGTGTGTTTGCACCTGTGATGGGAAACTAACTGAGCAGGTTTTATTCTGAACAGCTCTATTGTGCTGCTTCAGAAATTCAATCTTTGTTTTCATTTCATTTGTTGAATTTGTGATTATTCTTCCCATTTTTGCAGCAATGTATGAGCACAAGATCTTTGTCCAGGGATTAATGTGGGAGATCAACAGCTTTGACCAGTGGGGGTGAGTCTGTTTCTTTCAGCATACACAACAAGTTTCCTAATAAAAGTCTCTCTTTTGTGCTAATTCACAGCTCCACATGTTTATTCCTGGACTCTGCTGAAATTTTGCATGATTCACAGTCAGAATTAACCTTATTTAACATTTACTATGCCTTGGTGTAGGCCCCTCCGTTCATCCCCTTTCCGAAACAAGCCTCTCCCCCACTTTAGGCCAACTTTCTTCTCATTGTCTGACCCAAAGGTTTGAACACCAGGGGATGCTGTGCTCAAATAAGCAAGCTTTAAGAGAAGTCTGACGCCTAATGTTATACTGTGCAGCTTTCAGATTGAGGCATTGTGGATACATTTTTGCAGATTTTCCAAAATGTATTAACACATGACTGAACCCATCATATCTCTTGTATTCATGTCTTCTCCCCTCACATACGCATTATTAGAGTGGAACTGGGCAAACAGCTCGCCAAGAAGATTGAGCCTGAGCTCAAGGACACTGCTGAGATTCACTCCCACGACTCCTCCACCAACGGACTAATCAACTTCCTCAAGAAGAATTTTGCCTGAGCTGAGTGACCTCAATAACTTCCCCTTGACTCCACAGCATTATCTATCTTATCAGCTCAGGAGCTGCGTGGACAGGAGTCCCGCAGTGGCAGCTGGTCACTCCCACGCAGTTGAGCTGAAGCACTCTGTATGTTTGTTCTCGCATTATGAATATCGTGACTGTCTAGTATGCTGTCGTTTCCACGTTTGTTCGTTTACCACTGTGAGAGGAAAAAGCTTTTTGTATTAGACTGTCGTGACAGGCAGAGCGAAGCATGCCCCCACTCTGTCTCTACTGTTACACGAAATTTTGTTCCTGAAATAAAAATCTTCACACAGAATATGTAGATATGTTCAGTTTTCTCATACATATGTACATGTATGTAATGATGATGTGAGCGTGCGACTAACAAAAAGCAGTACACCACTAGATGGCATCAGAGTGCCAGATTTATTTGCTGGGAGCAAATGAGCCACCCAGTAATCAACCAGTTATTCAGTGGAACAAAGGGTCAAAGGTCAGTCCATCTGTACTGTTCCTCCCCACAAATCCCCAGACTCCACAGCATCCATTTAGCTTAGAGAGAAAAACAAACAACTGGACTAAACAGCATCTGGACTGGAAGTCAGTCAGCACTATGTTTAACTAGAATTTAATTTTATGATCGTTTTGGACACATGTAACAAAATCTCCTTGTATTCTCCTGATAAACAGAAGGATCACATATAATACTTGTATGAGAGGCAGCTTGCTTCTGAATAAATCATGATCGTGTTAAGTACTGTTTGATGCACAAAACAGCCTGAGCCTTAAATATATTTCACGGTGTTTCCTTCACTTTAAACCCACTGCCGGGTACAATTACAGAGTGTGTGTAAGGACAAACAGAAAGTTAAAAAAGAAACCGAGACCCCCAGACACTGCTGGGTTTTCAGTCCTGTTGCCAGGCAACAATACAGTACTTCAAATCTAACTTGTGCTTTTTATCTCTAGCTCTGAAACAAGATACAGAAGAAAGTGAGTTTGTCTGAGGAGAACATTCTGCCTTATTGTGAATTATCAGTGAAATCAGTCCAAAAAGAACACATTTTCGACTCATAGCTAGAAAAAAAAAAGAAGATAATTTTGGAGTATTCTTTGTAAATGGTGTTACCTTTCTCACTGAAACTCATCCCTCGATGACTCTCAGCTGAGTCCTAGATGAAGGGGCAAAGCCCTGGCTACATCATGGTGGTGAGGCTGAGCAAACCTGCAACTCTGCTTACTGAAACAAGAAAGTCCAGTGAACTAATAAAATACAAAAAGCAAACAGTAAAAATCTCCAAAATAGAAGAAAACGTTATAGCACCTGAACAGGAGTGAAAATATTTCATCCCTCTGCAACCCTTACTTACCTCGCAGTGACAGTGCGAGTTTCATTTAAAATCTTGGGGAAAATACCACTTCTTGCCTTTACACTCTCTAAGTTGTCATTTTTAACTGAGGTTAGTAAGTGGTTTAAATTAAAAGCAATGTTTCCGTAAACAACTGCTGCTGAGCCTGGTTGTAACAGGAGAAACTGGACAAGATTTAAAGAATAGACACAGACTAACCTGAAAGCGAGCGTACATTTAACCAAAAACAGTAACACAGTGGGAGCTATCTTCAAAAAATATAACAGACCGGGAAAAAACAAAGGAACTACTGACAAAAAAAGACAGAGTTTTTGATGAACCATTTTTGCTTTTGACAGCACAACCAGTTTATGGGCCTCATCAACAAATCAATCAATCAATCAAAGCAAAACAAAAATGCATCAACTGAGACTTACATAATGGAATTTATCATACATATGACTCTATCTGTTTTACTTGAGAATAGCAGCCCGTATCAGCAACTAATAAGTGAACAATTCACCAGAAAAATCTGCTATTTGGCCAAAAGCAAGGCTGAAATATTCATCCTTGTGACATCTAAACAGTTGAACATGGCCACACCTATAAAGACTTCTTCTTCCTATGTGCACCTGCATCCACAAATAGCGAGAGCCTCTAGTACTTCTGCGTTACTCTGCGCACTATTATTCAAAACAGGTTAATTTTCGAGGCAGGAATAAACAAACTGTAACAAATCAACATGAAGAAGTAACAGGGCCGACTCGGTTCAGCGGAGAGTGGAATCAAATTGCAGCGGGAAAGCATTAAACAAGATCTGTGTGCGTTCCTGAGATTTTTGTTGAACAATGCCGCTGCACACCCTCACATTCCACTTCATACTCTATTGGTTTGGCCACTTGGTTATTTTTCTTTCCTCCTGGAGTGTTTAAGAGTTGCCCCCCTTCAACATTGCTTGCCATAATGTTACTGACAATGTCAGGTGTAGCTTTGGAGCACAAAACTGGAATTCTTCCAGATGGCATGAAGTGCTTGTTGTTGTATGGAAAGATCCTCTGAGATGCATGTTTTCTTCATCAGCATGTTCTCAACACATTTGTATTCATCGTGCGCCACAGTGGAAGCAGTTTGACGGTCAGCATCCGTGCATGTAAAAAAGCTCGGAAATCCAGGCCTCAGAGGAGGAGAGTGCCTGCAGGTCTTCAGCCAGCTGCCATTCTCACTTGAACTTCACTGGCATGCTTGTAATGTGCATGAGTTTAACTCTGCTGCCCTGCCAGAAACCTTCAGGGAACATATTCTCTTGGGCAAAACACTAGCCTTTCAAACACATGACCGATTTCTGACTCTGTAGTCTGATGCTGCCACTGAAAGCAGCCACTGAAAAACTCTGGAGGATATAAAAAAAAAAAGCAAAAAAAAAAAAAGCCATCGTGTCAAGCCCAGCTTCATTTTTCCCATGACTACAGGAGTTATATAAAGATTAACTTAAGTACGTGGGCAGAGCTTGTCATATTGCAGCAAAGGAAGCCTGCTGGAGTCGCACGAGGCCTCAGAGTGCTTCAGCTAACCACTGCTCAGACTCCATGTTTCTCCTCAACTTTCTACAGCTCCCCATTTTGAGGACCACATCGAAAAAAACTGCTCTCTGCATTCTCACCATCACCGCAACAAGAATAAAATCCCGAGGGCATGCCAGTGCACATTGTGTGATTTTGTTCAGGTATTAAAGCAGAACGCTAAACCTTGGTTGCCAACATTAGTACACAGATAGTGTACAGGCAGTTCTGGCATAAAGCATCACATGCAAACATATGCATCCTTCATAGCAGAATTACTTCTTTGAGATGCCTTTGACCTCACAGGTCAATCAGAGGCTGCTTTTTAGTGGTTTCTCCCTGCCAAGCTACCAGACAGCTGGGCTGGTTTTTCCCTCTGGGAAGGCCCAAAGTCAGTTATCTGGTTTTCTGTGTGGGTTTTTGCATGCTAAGCACCCATTGTAAGAATCATATTTTTTGTTGCCTCTGCAGATAAACTGACCAACATCTGGCTCTAAGTCAGCATCACAAAGTGAGAGATACATAATACTCCCACGCTGATATCAACCTCTGTTAGTCTGCAGGAGACATAATATCACAGCGACAGACACAAGGATTGTGTTGAATGTTGATTTATTTTAAAAGATTTGTACATCAAAGCTTTTATTTCTGATTGTGGTGACATATTTCAAACCAAGCTGACATGACTGTGTAGCTTCGAGCTAGAGCAGTGTAGATACGATTATTTATTTTAACCTTCAAAATTTAATAGTTCAGCATAAGAGATTTTTTTCAGTAAGTCTTGTAAATGAGTGAATTGGTCACCTTTGTGCTCTTTCTTATTTATTTACTGGTTTCTGGTTAAGCAATTACTCATGTAATGTAAATTGAAATAGTGTAGTAATTAACTACAACCACACATCAAACTCGTCTAAAGGCCCCATATGCTTGTTTGTTTCCATTCCTTCCCTCTTTGTCTGTTTGCCATCTTCTCTCAGAGGCATCACACGGATCTACCAGGTCGAGAAGATAAGGCCTTCCCTAAACTGCAGCATTTGGCCCGTTCATTAATCTTTCACTATTCCCATCTTCATCAGTAAACATGTGGAGTACATTTGGGGTTGTAGTTTTTGCTTGTGAATCTCTAACATGACAGAAATCTGGCTCTTTTCCCACTCAGTGTCAAAATAAACAAGACACTAAATTACTGGTAATTGTCTGTCAGACTTCCTGTTTAAAGTAGGTTTCAAGCCCTGCCCAGCATAATGATGATGACATCGTGAGGGGTTATTTTCTCAAATCCCATTAGAGCCACAAAAGACGCTACACAGAGGAGGGTGACTAGCAGATGTCGAAAAAACTGATCTTTGGAGTGAACGGTTAGGAGGTTAACCGTTTATAGTTAACATCTTTATCTTTAAAGAATCATTAAAAAATAATAAACAAGCAAAAAGAAATCAAGCAATAAAAATAGGAAACAGACAAAAATTGGTTCCTGTTGTTCAAGGATGTCAAACTCATTTTACATCGCTAAATATGGCCGTCTTAGATCCATGTCTTTAACATTGTTAGGAAAAGATTACCGATTTCCGGAGAGGGTTTGTTTTTTGTTGTTGTTATTTTGTTATTCTGTCTAGTTTGGCTTAATTGTCTTATTTATTCCACAAAACGTAATCTCTGAGGGGATGTGTTTCCTAAAATTAACACTATCAGCTTTTTTATTTAAAAATACTTTAAATAAAATACTTAAAAAAACGAACATTAATCAAACTAACATATTACTGATGTTTATTAATTTATAGTCTTATTATGTTTCTTCTGGATACAACCCCGGTGAAAAGAGATTTGAGTCTAGTGAAATTTCTTTAGAAATAAAATAATAACTATTATTTTTATAGCAATTTTCAAAATCCAAACTTCACAGGAGCAACAAAATAAATTGACATTAAAAAAAATGTGTGAAGACGTTGCAAAAATAACAGAAATTGTTTTGTAAATAAAGGTCTGTTCAATGGAAATTCAAACTCTTGTAAAATCAGGAAAGTGTGTTTTAAGTATTTAAAATAACTGACTCAGCCAATTTCTTCAGGGAGACCCTTCCAATGCGCCTGGATAAAAGTCCGCTTCCCAAGGATCCCAAAGTGTACACTGGTTCATATGGTACTAAGAAGTCAGAGATATAGCTAGGAGCAAGGTGGCCAATTAAAAGTTATCAATAAAATCTTCAAAGATATTTAAAACATACTGGAAGTGATTGTAAAAAGGATAAATAGGAATTATACAGTGATTAAAGTCTGATCTTCTCAGATTATTCTGACCTCTTCCTAAAATGTCTTTCTGCACCCTCAAACACAGTAAGACAGTCTATCTATCTATCTATCTATCTATCTATCTATCTATCTATCTATCTATCTATCTATCTATCTATCTATCTA